GCAGAAATGTGTGGCAAGCACTCGGAATGGCAATGGCAATGGCAACACGAAAGTCAATTATCCATGATCAAGTGAGCAAAACGTTCAAATTTTAGAATGAAACTTGTATGTGCTTAACCCGTAACCCACAGCAAAAACTGCTCAGCTAGAAAGCAGCATACATGACGCTAATTGAAGCCTTGAAAATCGCATAGAAAGGCAGAGACGAAGAAGGCTAACAATAAGAGCGTAAGCAAAGGAGCGGAAGCTTAGCTTGGTAATATTTAGATTCAATAAGCTCTACTATAAGCAGAAGAGTGACCGCTGAACGGGTATGGCCGACTAGGTTTCGAAAGCAAATGGACAAGCTTCTGCTGCCTGAAAGCTTCTAAGTCTAAGCAAGTCTCTAGCTGACATGTTTACGAGTTCAATCAAGGACATACAGACGGGCAGATGGATATGGCTGGATACACTAAGCTCAGCGTTCAGCCACGTCTGCTACACACAAAGAAGGCAACAGACAACAGACTCGAGTCTATAAAAAGTGAATAAAAGATATTTATGAAGCTTTAACTTCTGTGTAGAAGGGGCACTATCAAAAGCAAGAAGAGCACCTTTAAGAAATTAAATACCAAATATATTCTCATTGAATAGAAATTTGTAATTATATGATCTCAGGTGATGAGAGAGTTGGGAGCTGAGAGCTGAGAGCCAATTGTGGAAAATGAGCAGTAGCGGCGGCTAAACACCTGTAACTGCAGGTTCGATGCCGGCCTCTGGGGTCAATGTACCGTTGCGGCTGGGGTCAGTGCGCCAACTGGTGGGCGTGCAGTGGCCAACGGCAATGGGTACGGTCATCGGTTCCAACTATGGCCGCATGGCCGTACTTTGGCGACCTACATATTTTGGTTTCGTCTACACTGACCTACTGCTGAGAGAGTGCCGTGCGGGTCTGGGTCAGAGAAAGGGAGAACTTGTTTGTGGTAAGTGCTCACTTTTGCCAGAGTCGCTCGGACAGCCACTTGCAGTGATTGCTCAATCGAAGAAGGTAGCCAACCGCGACCGAAGCCAAGACCAAGACCAAGACCGAAACCATTCCGGCGGCAATCAAGTTCAGCTTTGGCTTTTGCTGACACCTGCAGCAATCAGCAGAGCGACAATCAATCGACATCTAGCAAATACAGATACAGATACAGATACCGATACCGATACAGGTTCAAAGAACTTTTCGATCGCCCATTCACTGTCGCTGCTCGATCGGTGATTAGGCTTTCACGACGTCACCTCTCGACGTGAGCGCTTTTATATTCAACGCCGCCACTGAAACTATCTGAAAAGATTTCAAATTGTTCCATGCAGCAACTAAACATCTGCTTAGACTGATCACTGCCCTATACCCTGTATTCTTAATACTAGTCGGAGCTAAGAGATAGAGTGGGTAGGCAGTGACATATACCCAAGACTATATTGCCCTAATAATTCAAGTTCAATTTGTCGATTAAATCTATAAAGAATAAAGAATTAGTCGAAGGTTAGCTTCAACTTGAGCGCAACCCACTTAACTCTATAAGATCCCTAAATGACGTGAAAGAATCGTGAATTTAATAACATATGCATTTCTTATGAACGCATGCACTTCCATATAACATACATATATGTTGCATGCAACTTTCCAAATGACATACAACTTGTATGATGAATGCATTCGTGTTCTGACGGCCAAGAGATGGGCGCGTGATTGCAACGGCACAAGTCGCACACGCAGACCATGATAGCCACGCACGCACGCCGTTGCCTTATATAATCATGTATACGTATCTATATATAGATTTATGATTTTGTTGCGTGTCACGACACGCGCTCATCGCCACCGTCGCTGGCGCTCGGTGACTGTGCTATTTTCATATGCGCGCCTTGTTGCCGCTGATAACCCAATATCCCAGTTAAATATGAAATCAAAAGCCATAAAAGACAAGGGAATTTAAATACGCGCGCAAGCGCTGAAAGAGAGAGCACAACGCCAATTACAAAGCCAAAGACAAAGACAACAGAAAAAGGAAAAGATTGATATGCTTAGCCTAGCCACTTGAATGCTCTACAATCTAAAGCAGAAGAGTATTCGATAAAGTAAAGTTGAGGGACGATGGGCAGAGAAACCAAATACATATATCATCTGATTAATTGGTTTGCCAATTCAGTATTTGATTGCAATTTAACAGTAAACTGGTACAAACTACCAACAATACTTCCTGAAATATTCATTAAAATGGTATAAAATTCCTTAAAACCCTTTAAACAGCCTACAAATTCTTAAAAATCCATTTTCAGCTCCTATACAAGGAGAGCCTAGTAGATGTTATCCTAGCCAAGTCGTTAGGAACTTGAGCTCATATTCAGCTCAAATTCAGCTCATATTCAGCTTTTAATCAGCTCATATTCATCTCCTATTGAGCTCATATTCAGCTCATATTCAGCTTTTAATCAGCTCATATTCATCTCCTCTTCAGCTAATTTTCATTGTATATCCAGCTTATATCCAGCTCATATGCAGCTCGCTTTCATCTCTTATTCAGCTCATATTCAGCTCATATTCAGCTCATATTCATCTCCTATTGAGCTCATATTCAGTTCATATTCAGCTCATGTTTAGCACATATTCAGCTTTAATCAGCTCATATACAGCTAGTATTCAGCTCATATTCAATGATAGAGATAAGAAGGGTTTTTGGTTTTGGTAGGATAAAAATTGAAAAATTCTTCAAAATACTTTAAGCTTACGATTCGATCGAAGAGGTGTTAAGCTCATTCAGAAATTGTCTATAATCTCAGAGTGGCAAGCTGAATGGGAATGCTTGGATGACCGCCTGCAGTGAGGGTAGCATAAATCCGTTATGCATGATTCGAGCAGCGTGGGCGATGGTATTAGCGTCGTGGGCACCGACCAATTGCCAGTGCTCAATTACTTTCAATTGTCGCTTTGTCGCCAGCCCATGCCACACGGTCGACAAATATAAAAGCGTTGGGACGCTCGGGAAGGTGTTTCTTTTGGCCAAACAATGCCGAGACGCGCGCTTATCGTTCACTGGCTGGCATTGAGCCTTGGCATGGTCGCAGCCATGGGACGCTTCGAGCCGGCTGTGCCGCCACCTCCACGCTGGGGCGCCAACATGCAAATGCTGCGCCGGCACAACAGTATGTACGCATCGTGGCCATGTCTTCCGTGTGGTAGCTATAGCACTTGGTTCTTGCAGGTGCCGCATTTGACTTCTGGTCGGAGAACAGCGACACGAACATTTGGGAACACAGCGGCCTGTTCGAGGGCGACATCATGCTACATCGCGAGCTGTTGCGCAATGGACTGCTGAACGAGCGACAAACGTGGCCGGATGCCGGCGTGCCCTTCTACATAGACGCCGAGGACTTCAGTGAGTAGCCAAGCATAGGCACCTTAATAGCGATAATTGAAGTTTGAAAGGTGATTTGGCACAGCGGCCAACCAGACAATGGTCATACTGAAGGCATTCAAGGAATATCACGAACGCACCTGCATACGCTTCCGGCCGTACGAAAAGGGCGACAAGCACTGGCTGCTCATCAAGGGCAACTACTCCGGCTGCTGGTCGAGCGTCGGCCGGCGTCAAGGCGGCCAAATACTGAATCTCAATACGCCCAAATGTGTCACTCACGGTGTGGTCGTACACGAGCTGCTGCACGCTCTGGGCTTCTACCATCAGCAGAGCGCCACGGAGCGCGACGAGTATGTGAAGATCAACTGGGAGAATATCTTGGACGGCCATGCCCACAACTTCAACAAGTACGCACGCACCCACATCACCAACTTTGGCGTCGAGTACGACTACCAGAGCGTCATGCACTACAGCTCACTAGCATTCAGCAAGAATGGAAAGGCAACCATTGAGCCACTGGTAAGCAATTTCTAGCTCAACTTCTAAAATCCATCAGTGCAACAAAGTTCAATTTCATCCTCAAAGCATCCACATCTGCATATAGAATTAAATTGAAGAAGAAGAAAAATAAACTAGCATTGGAATGTGACTTATTTAATATTTCTCATATAAAAAATATATTGAGAGTGGGTGAGAGCAGTGGCAAGCAACGCAAGAGCAAGACAATAAGGGAGAGAGTAAGAAAGGAAGAGAGAGAGCGATGGTGACAAAGATAACGAGGCAGAGAAATGCAGTGAGAGAGGGAGAGGGAGAGAGTGAGAGAGAAAAAGACAGCGAAAGAGAAAGCCAAATATAAAGAGGGAGATGATAATTGTGAAAGAGAGAAAAATTAAGTCAGAGAGAGAGAGAGAGAGAGAGACAAAGTAATCGAGTGAGCGAGAGTTTGTAAGAGAGGACGAGAGATAGAGAACGAGATAGAAGAGACAGAGAGAGAGAGAGAGACATGAAGACAGGCATAGAGTGAGAGAGAGCGATTTTATAGAGAGAATGAGTAAGCCAGAAAGAGAGAGCGAGAGAGTAAGTGAGGGAGATAATGGAATAGCAACAGAAATAATCAGAGGGGGAGACGAGAGACAGAGAGAGCAAAAAAATATATGAGAATGAATAATTTTGCAGCAGATTACATGTATATTTCTATCTAATGCCCTTCTATGCACTTCTCATTTAAATCAGTCCTAAAGGATTTCATGCTTGCGGTTAAAAGTATTTCAATGAGAAGAAATTAGAAGGTTATATTAAACAAATGTGATACGATTCAATCATATTACCATTCCAAATAGAATATGCTTTGCACGTAATTTTATAATTTTTTGATGTTAACTAGGATCCCTACGCCTCGCTGGGCCAACGACGCGGCCTGTCCGACAAAGACATATCGAAGCTAAACGAGATGTATGAACAGGACTGCAATGGCAGCGATCTGCTGGACTTTGATGGCTTTGGTAGCTATCTGGACGAGCTGCTGGACTACTTTCAAGGCAATCTGCAGTGTCTGTTTGGCTAGACATGAATTAAGATTTATTGAGCAAATACGAGTAATTTTAGTAATAAAAACTAAGCAGTTGCCTGGGCAACAAAGAAGCTGAACTGACTAAGCTCCTCGAGTGTTTGGGCGGCTTCCAGTCGCAGTGATTGGCAGGTCTGCTGCTCGGCCAGCGCCTGCAAGGCGCTCTTCAGCTCCCCACTCCAAATGCACTGCACGCCGCGCAGACTAAAGCGCGCCAACAGCAACAGCATCTGGCAAGCGCGTTGCCGCAACAACTGATGGCGACTCTGCAAAAGTAGGACCAGCTGTAGGCGCGAATCGAATACAATCTTCTCCACCAGCTCGGCGTTCTCGGGCAACTCGCGCAGAACGCAACAGAACAAGGCCAGCATGCAGCTAGCCAAACGCACCGCGCTGCTGTCTTTAAAATCTGCAACAACGAAAGAATTGTCAGAAACGGATCGCTGTCTCCGAATCCTGCCCTTTGCTTACCGTGTGTGAGAAAGTTAATAAACATGTCGTTGACAGCGAGTATTGCCACTGCGTCGCAGAATTGGCTGAGAAACTGCTGTTGCTGATGGACTAGATGACAGACCAGCTCGTACAAGCTGCAAGCAGTATTCATCTCCTCGGCACTTAGGTCGGAGACACTGCGAAGGGTGCGGCTTAGAGAGACGCCCGTGGTGGCCGGCAGCGAAGCAGCCGAGTCGGTTAACTGGCGCTGCGAGAGCAGCAGCTTGCAAGCATACATCAAATTGGGCACCAGCTTAACATCAATGTAAACGCCCTTAATGGCCTCCACTACCAAATGCTGGTCGGCCAGCACAAATGGAAGTGACAACAGCTGCGCAACGCTCTGCAGCACCTTGGGTATGGCCTTTGAGTTGCGAAGCGGTGCCACAATGATGCTGACTAGATTATGCTGCTTCAGCGAGTCAAATTCACCGTCCAGCAGCTCCTGTATGGAGCGATGCAAAAATGCCAGCCACTCATCGTTCTCAATGGGCGGGCTCTGAGATTCGTCGCAGCTGTCCCAGCCGGGCAACAGACAAGGCGGCGAATTACTGAAAGCGCAAAGATATCTTTAAGAGTGTTCACTGTAGATATGAATCGAATTACTAACTCGCTGCTCAATTTCTCATCATTGGTGGAGTGCATCGACTGCTTTAGCTGCTGTGCCTTCTTCTCTTGCAGCTGCTGGGCTTGCGTCTGCTGTGTGAGCATCTCAGTTGTTTTACGCTGCGCCTCTGTATCGATGCTTTGACCCAAGCGCAGGGAAAAGTTATCCAAATTTTGACTTAGTTTGCGCTTCTCTAGATCCTTGCTGCGCGACTGTTTTATATTGAGCGCCATCTTCAGCTTGGACTTCATCGATTTCGTTGCGCTGTAAGCCGGCGTTTCGACTGCAAAGTTGTCATTCATATGATTGAGTATCATGTTCGAATTGCCACTAACAAAGCAGGTTTGTGAGTTAACCAGTGGCATCGCACTCACGATAGCAGCTGCATTGCTGTTGGGCAATGCTCGATAGGAAACCTCTGCAAATGGCACAATTACCCGCTGCACATTATCCTCGATATCTGTTTCCAATTGCTCAATGTCGCTCGGTGCTATGGCATTGATGCTGTCGCGCGATGTGCTCAGGTTTTCATTGGCCACATCGCTCAACTTAAGAGCTGCCAATACCTCACCCAAATCGACGCCTACGTGTCTATAGAAAGAGGACAAGGATTAGTGAAGTTGACTTGAGTACGACGTAAGTACGCACCGAGATTGCTGCAAAACCTTGGTGTCTTTGGCCAATTGGGGATTTATAAAGGGCGAACTTTGTGCTGCTTGCACCTCGGGTATGTAAAGCTTGCCCTCGACAAAAGGATGACAGAGCAGCTGCGTCCAGGAGATGCGCATGCTCGGATCCTTTTCGAGCAAGCCTTGTAGAAATGAGCGGCATTCACTGCTGAGCGTGCTGGGCCATTTGACGTCTTCGTGCTTGATCAGCTTCACAAGATGCAGTATGGAGGTGGCACAAAACGGCGGCTGCCCCGACATGCTCTCATATGCAATGCAACCCAACGACCATATATCTGCCTGATGGTCGTATGGCTGCTCGGCCAGTAACTCTGGTGCCATATAGAGCGGAGTGCCTTTTATGGAAGTGAGGACATGTGTGCCCATCGTCATGTTGCGCGCCAGGCCAAAGTCACATAGCTTGGCGTGCATATTTTTGTCCAGAAGCACATTCTGAGGCTTTAAGTCCCGATGCAGGATGCGATTCGAGTGGAGATAATAGAGTGCCGACACCAAATGACAAACAACACGCTGTGCATGATCCTCGGGCATGGCACCATTGAATGACAAGTATCGATGCAAATCCATCAGCGCAAACTCCGTGACCACAAACAAATCGAATTTGGATTCGAACGACTCAACCATTTCAATGACATGGGGATGCTTGAGGCGCGCCTGGATGTCACATTCGCGACGCAGATTCTTAAGCTCACGATTGGAACGACCTCGCTACAATTATATAGCTCATTAGTATTCACCTGTTGCATTTGCCTTTCCTTTGACGGAATATTATAAGAAAAACCAACCTTGGATATGACTTTGATAGCCACCACTTTGTCATCAATGCGTCGCTGTGCTTTGTACACACAGCCGAATGACCCCTGGCCCACCAAAGAGCTTACCAAATAACGCTCCATGGTCAGCAAATAGCAGGGAAAACTCACTTTTAAAAAAAACTTAAATGCGCCTTCAAATGTCTAAAATTAAAGCCGTAGTGTGACTGCAATTTAAAAACTTAACACTTAACGCAAAATACCAAACACCCACAATTATCGATGCCTTGCGCAAAGAATAACAGTGATATCGATAGTAGCAATAACAAATTTCGGCACTCCCAGATAGATTATTAAATACTATTCAAAAAATGTAAGACCTCTAACATTAGGTAATATATATTGATATCGGACATAATTGTTGCAGTAGTGGGTAATTATTGTAGTACTATGAAAATCATGTAAGATTGTGAATTCTTTGTATTCGATATAAAAATACTAGAATTCCAGCACATCGATAGCACAGCTGGTGCCGATTGAAGAAGTCAGCTGATTTATCTTTATGGCAACGAAGATATCAGCTGTGGTAAATACTTTTGTTTACGGGTAAAAGCTGCGGCCATAGCGGAGGAATCTCTGCTAATTTAATCAAATAGACGCCAACACAAATAATGAATAAACAATCGAACTAAGTAACATTATAGACGCAATTGAAACGACAGAAATATGCGCGAGCCCAATTTGTACGTAATTTTATCTCACGCGCTAATTGGTAAGTAACTTTGTTGCAAACTCGCCGGCCGCTTCAGATATAATACGCAGCCATTAGGCTCGGGCTTCTTTTTTCTGTATATGCACCATGTGCGCGTTATCTTCGAGACGCGCACCAACATACGGCATCTCAACCAATTGGAGCGCGAGTCGATGCTTCGCCGCGAAGATGCCCTCTATTACACATTCTACAAGAAGCTAGCCGATGGTCCAGATTTCTGGCACGGCTACGACCTGCTAAAGAACGTTACAGACATTGAGTACCCGCACAGCGTCAATGTGCTCCAACGTTTCTATGTGCTTCCCGAGCTGGTTACCGCGTAAGTAATTAGCTTAACTCAATTGCATTCACATCTGCTTCACACCCACGCCCATATAGCATACACAATTTTTTTCTTTTTAGAATTTTAGATGAATCATGGTTCGTATAGAAGTTCCATTTTCTATTCAGATACTTGATATCACAGAAAAGAGATCTATTTCAAAAATCACAAAATGTTTCCTCTTCCAGTAATAAAACCTATTGCCATGAAACATTCCCAACTTTCTATGAAGTGACAGCAATTAGAAGGCTATCTATACTGTGATTTGATAGGGAGATTGGCTTATGGGGCTTGCCTGATGCAACTTGTCATTTGGAACTCACATTTCCCTTTTCCTACTTTGATTGCAGCTACTTCTTCCATATTGTGCGCGCCGGCTTCAATCCCAGCCTGCAGCCCATGGAGTTCTACTTAGAGTTCGTTTGGCTAATGGGCGGCGTCACGCTGCTGGTGCTCTACTTGTATGGCACACTGCTCAGCGAGAATGTGTTTGGCGGCATCTATGGCGTCATCTCATACCTGATGTTCCACAGCTTTGCGGCCAAGATCTATGAGCGGCCGCTGGCGCGCGAAAACTTTGCATTTCCCTTTATATTCCTGCAAATGTTCTATTTGTGCATTTGCATTGGCCGATTGCTGCATCGGCAGAAGCACACATCACGTCTCTTTATGGTAAATATCTAAATCGTTCTGTAGTCGAAAATAATAATCCATGCGATTGCTTTGCTTAGGTCTGCGCCATGTCTCTGTTTACGGCTTGTGCCCTGCTCTCGTGGCAGTTCTCCAACTATATATTTACGACACAAATTTTCATTGTGATGTCCTCGTGGAATATTTGCTCGATGCCCGTGGGGCTGGCAAATGCGTTCGCCCTGGACTATTCCCTATCACATCTACTAGGCAACGTCCTCGCCTTTCTGATCTCACATGGCAACACACAGTTGCTCTTCACTTGGCAATTGAATCTGGCTCTCAGCATGTTCGTGGTTACGCTCTTCCGGCAATTGCGTAATCGATTTGTGACCAACAATGTGCAGCAAGGTGATTATTTTTCGTTCAAGTTCATATTCTTGGCGCCGCTGTTTGCCAACAGCATGCAGGGCAAACTTGTCGATATGCTGAACAAGTCTGGTCTGCTTACCTGGCAGGAGAACACGTACGTACACTATTGCGATATGTGGGCGTACTGGATGCTGCAGACAAAGGTAAGCTTTGTGACCAATTTGTCTGCTTGCAATCCGCTCTATGCACGAGTCGCCTGGTCAGAGCTGTGGCAGTTGGTCAAGACGTTGATTGTGAAGCCGTACTGCATGTACGGCGTCGTCATGCTGGCCACATTCTTCCGCAAATGGCGCAAGAGCAACATCATCACCAAGGCCAATCAGGAGCAACGGGAACGCGCTCGCAACTATGTGCTAGAGGATTTCCTCGAAGAGCACCACGTGTCCATGAGCGATATGTCCAACAAGCAGACTGAACAGCAGCTACAACAATGCTTCGCCGTGCTCGAGAGCTGCGACCATGATTACGAGCGCTACAAGCGGGAGAAGGCCAAAATGCAGCATGAGCAGCCACCGGAGCGCGATGACTTCATGCAGGACATCAAGCGGCTCAAGGCGCAGATACATCGCAACAGTGACAAGCAGCGCAAGGAGCGTGAACAGGCCTGCGAATCGAATGCCAAAGAGCCGTCGACCAGTGACCCCAGTGAAACTGCAGGCCAAGTAAAGGCAGAAACAGAAACGAAGACGGACTCGGAAAATAAAACTGAAGTGCCGCCTACAAACGCAACTGAACCAGAACCTGAACCTGAAACTGAGGAAACATTACCGTCCAAAGCCAAGGAGCCCAAAGAGCCAGCCAACGGCAGACGTCGTCAGGCGGCCTCAACACGTCGCAGCTCTGTTGTGCCCACAATCAACGCTCAAATATTGAATTTGCATTATATGTACAGCTTCATGCAGATGGTTATCTTCACGCTGATTGGTCTCACCGTACGCAAGCTGTTCTTTCTGAGCTTCACGCAAGGCTGCGTGATAGCGCCCACGGTCTGCTCCAAGATCTGGTATCATCGGCAGCGCAACGTTTTTTGGTCTGTTTCGCTGGCCGTCTTCTTGCTCAGCATGTTCGATCCCGGCATGGTGGTTAGTTGACAACTCCCTGCATCTATATATACATTTCTATATGACTATATTGTACATGACTTGCAGAATATACGCGAGGAGTACTTTCCCACACGGTACAATCATCCGTCTGACGACCTGGAGGGCATGCTCGAGTGGATTAAATTGAATACAGAACGCGATGCCGTGTTTGCCGGTCCCGTTGAGATAATTGGCACCGTGCACTTGACAACCAGGCGCCCGATAGTCAATCATGCACACCTCGAAATGCGTCAAATGGCGTAAGTCCAATAGCACGATTCGAGTATTTGCCAATTTAAGTTCTAATATGAAATCAACTACTTCACAGGGAGCGTACGGAACATGTCTACTCGGTGTACAGTCGCCAGCAATCGTCTGATATATACAATCAGTACACACAATTGAAAATCCAATACTTAATCATATCTCTAAGCGAGTGCACCAACGAAGTGCGGTAAGTCTGTTCGTTTAGAGATTGTTACACTTCCATCTGACGTAAATACCTCTTTAATATTTGCAGAGATGACTGCGACATCTTGTCCATGTGGGATGATAAACAGCCAGCGTTTCGAAAGTATCCCCAATTTTGCCACGAGCTTCTGCACAAGAATGTACCTAGTTTTTTAAAGGTCTATACGAACGATAAATATGGCATCATTAAGATGTTCTCCCAAAGTGTGCAAATCAATTTGAAGCACAACAAAATGCCCGAAATGTCCATGTGAGACAGACAATAGGCCTAACCTTATATGTAACTTAGGGCTCAAGGCAAATGTGACTAGGATATTTTACAAAATTGACGACGATGATGATAATGATGAAATGTATTAGTATTTAGTAGTGGGCGAGTAGGCGTACACAGACAAAGACACAGACCCCATAATTGAGATGTTGACACCAAAAAGCAGCTGCAACTAAACAAATTCTATAAAATATAAACATATATATATATATAGCTATAGATATAGATATAGATATATGTATGTATATATATATATATATGGTTATATAGTAAGCAAGCAAATGTAACTACTATTTGGAGGACGTACGAATTTTGTTCTGTTTTGATTCGATTCGATTTGGAATGCATTCCCACTTCACAATATATGATAGCCATTTATGTATATGTGTGTGTGTACGATTTAAGTTAGGTTCGACAGAGATACTTTTGCGAGTGTGCTGCACTCGGTTCGTTAAGTGCGTTAAGTTTAAGCTAAGCTTTTAACATATTACGATTAATCAACGCTAACGCGAGCAGGGCGTCACGTGGTGCCCTGCCATATGGTTGTCTCCATTTATGTATATGTATGCATTTTGTCCCAGATAAATGATGATGACCTACCAGAGTATAAATTACTTAAAAGCTATTGAAATAAAGTTGAACAAACAATCAAATCACGGTACAATTTCAAACACTTTTGGCATTGGCTGACTTTGTGTAAACTTCATTTTATTTCATTATTTGTTCATGTGTGTCTGTGTGTGTGTGTGTGTAAGTGTGTAAGTGTGTGTAACCCATTTGTTGTTGTTCTCTAAATATAATTCAATGGTCATTTACAAAAAGCATCAGAGCTTCGAAGTTAATTTGAATTGGAAACTCTTGAGTGCGGCTATATGTACACTGTTACGTACTATATCCACAGATTTAGTTCTGATTAAGGAGCAGCATATTTTTAGTTTAGCATATTCCGAACGATAAACATCTTAAAGCGTAGTTTAAGGCTCAAGCGTGCTTCTCTATATTAACTAGAAGTATTTGAGATACTTCCCTCTGCCTCTCCCACCTCGTTCCTCTCTTACAAAAGAAAAGATAGTGCGGCTGAAGATATTTCTTAAGTTAAGTCTAGCTGGAAGGCGAGAGCAGTTAGGAAATGAATCTCAGTTAAGTTTAAAGCATAGCAATCAGGCTAAATGTCCTTTAACAGTTAGCTACAGTCTTTCTTAATTTACATAATATACATAGCTATATATGTATATTTATATATATATATGTATACATATATATGGTATATAGTATATACAATTTTGTGCTTATTGGAACATCTCATTGCAAACAGAACGTGTTTCTATAGGTAAAATCAATAACAATTTCATTGTTTCTACTAAAATTCTGGAAGCAGTTCAGCTATATTAACTTTATATATTTATATATATATATATATATATATATATATATATATACAGATATATATATATATGTATATATACATTATTTTTTTCCTGTAAATTATGTAGCCTCCAATTCGAACAAAAGCGCAATGCAAATATTTTTTTGAATTTTTTTTTTAAATATTTAAAAAACTGCATTTTGTTTATATAACTTTCCATACACTAATGTACACTGTACACATATATAATATTTTGGTTTTTTCCCATTTTTTTTTTTTTCAGTTTGTTCCTGGTGCGCGCTACAGTGCAAAATATTTGCTCAATTATAAAATTCATTCACAGTTTTTAGATTTATCTTCTTCTTTTTCTTTTTGATTATCTGATTTGAAGAAAACATAATTAGCATAGAGACTGCGAGTCGAAGCAGCTTGCTTTCTTACTTAATGTTTATGTAAATACTTTAAAACTCTTAAAAGTTTTTTCTACATTTTTGGATATTTTCACAAAAAAAAATTCATTTGTTTTTTATATTTGAAATAATTATCTTCAGCAAATATGTAACTGTAATTCGCTACTTAAATGAAAATAGCTAAGAACTTCTCTCTGTGTATGCGTGTGTGTGTGTGTCATATGTGTGTCGTGTGAATGTTCGATTTGATTTTGCTATATACGAGTATTAATAAATCTTTATAATGTCCTTCAATTGAATTTATATCACAGCAATATTTTTTGTCATTTCATTATGTAAAATACACTTGTGGGTGTGTGTGTGTTAGCCTGTTTATAATATGAGCACGAAATGTTGAACATTTCTGATTTTGAAGTTTTGTTAACATCTTTCACGTTTATCTACAAAGTGAGCTCTTCGGTTGAGAATGTCGAAAGCTTTGGGATCGAGCCGAGCTATTCATCATTTGTCCAGGGTGTTCAGTTCGTGTGTGAAGCTCACATTTTAGTGTTACAAGGATTAGTTTAACAATAACGGCAAGTTACATAGTTTCTGTTGAAGCATGTCCGAAGCGTATGAAACCGAAAATCAAATTATCCGCGCCCCTAGCACAAAAACTGATAAGCGCTACAAACAGCGGCGTGTATGTACCGTGTGAGTGTATGCATGTTTGTATGTATAAATATATATATATATATGTATTTGGGTTAGACCGTAGCACAATCAACAACCTAGATAGATCTGTATGGGCACTTTGTACTTTCAAATACGTTTGATGGTGGGACCTGTAAAAAATACCGAAACTTTTCGCTTAAATTTCTCCATGGTCGGCTCCTGCTCCTCCTCCTCGTCGTCGTCGTCATCATCGTCGTCATTGTAGGGCTGTCCATTGTGGCCAAAGATAACGGTACGCGTAAACGGCGGCACGCTCTTGGGTCCGTCGGATTCACTGAAACCGGGATTAAGTATTATATTCGGTATAAGCTCAATGCTGTCCCAACCATCTTTGAGTTCTACGAGGCCGCATAGCATGATATAGAATAAGAGATCAATGCGACATGAAGAAGAGAAATGGAGATAGAGAAAGAGAGAGAGGTAGTGCGTATTGGAAAATGAAATATAAAGAGTGAGAGAGAGAGAGAGAGAAAGACAGAAATGGAACGAGAATCGAGATAAATAGAGAAAGAGTAGACGAAAAAATAGAATTAAACATCATTTGACATCAATTACGTTACCTTTTAAAAGTTTTTGTTTTGTTCAATAATTGTGTTAGTGTGCGTATATGTGTGTGTGGATGTGTGGATGTGTGGGTGTGTGCGTGTATGCGTATATGGCTGTCAAGCGCGCTTATAAATTGCCACAACGACCAATGCGGCGTATACGTAATATTTGTATTTGACTGAATTTTGATAATATTTTCAAATCAAGACATAAATGTGTGTGTGTGTGTTTGTGATATGTGTGTGTGTGTATGTCTGTGGCTTTATGTGTTTGAGCTGTTAAGCGCGCTCATAAATTGGCAAAGCAACCAGCACTGCGTATACGTAATATGTGTGTGTTGCGCCTGCAATTTGAATGTATATTCAAATCAAGGCAAGTGTGTGCGTGTGTACATATAGGACATATGTTGCTAACAATAAGCACATTAACTGAAATTAAAATGAAACAATACAAGACTATGTAGAATGCTCCGATAAATGTATTTTACTTTCTTTATATAAGGATTCAAACATTTAATTCGCGTGCCACAACACAAAGCACATAAAGTGGAATATTAATTGCTACTTATGTATATGTAAGTATATGTGAACAGATATATATATATATATATATATAAGTGTGTGTGTGTGTTTGTGTATATAGTTTACAACATCAATATATATAGTTTAACTAACATTTGCTTGTTTGGTTTGTTTTTTACACATTTAAATTTAAATTGAAATTGAAATGGAAATGTAAATTGAAATTGAAATTGAAATTGAACTGCAAAGTGACAGCAGAAGAAGGCAGAAAAGCATAAATCAGATATCACCGAACGTATCACACGCTGCCAAGTTGCCCATATTACATATAATTTAGGGCTTTAGTTTCATTTTTCATTTCGTTTCGTGGTTTAAAGCTTCGTTTCTTGTTCATATTTTCTTTATAATACTTGTTATATATTTAATTAGTTGCGGTTTGGCCTACTTTTTCAGTGCATAACTCTAGAGCTCTACTTATGGTTCTTAGGTGCACATTGAGATTGTGTTCGTTGTCTATCACAGCTGTGGCTAAAAACTTTGGTCGCTAATATATCGAGGTCTTGCGTAGAGACGGCATTAAGTTTCAAACACTTTTAATAGTTATTTTGATTGAGAATTCTAGATTTAGTATGCGCTAGTTGTGGCTAGTCAATGCTTTACATATTTATACTCGTTCACGAAGTGACGAGAGCATATTGGTTGTGCGCAATGCTCGACTTGCCTGTCATTTGGTCGTCTTGCTGTCTGTCTGTCCGTCTGTCAGTTCGTTCATCTATCCGTCCGTCTATTGGCCTACATATATATGCCTCTTACAGCTAGAGCTATAAGCTTAACCCAATTAAGTTACTACAGACTCCCACTTGAGCTTAGCCAAAAGTGATTGAACTGTGAACGAGTATTGTGCAGTCGATGACGCCCGACTGCTATTGACTTGAATTATAATTGAAATTGATTAGTTTTTATCAAAATCTCATTAGTAATTTAATAAAATTTTGATTGCTTTTTAACCACATTTGGCTTTTTGCAGCTAAATATAAATCTTTACTTACAATTTTATAAGTTATGCTGCAATTTCTACAAATATATGTATATATAAATATAGATATATTTTTATATGTGAATATATGAGTATACATATATATTCGCTTTGCAGCTAATGATAGTTATTAAGAGTAGCTACTACAACTAGAAGTAGATGGATATACAGTTGTGTTCATGAAAATAGGGTGTAGTACTTAGGACAAATGAAACGATACTTGATGCTATAGAATGCAAAAAAGAGAATTGCAAAGACATCCAGGCATAAGTCATATTTCTTACTCAAGCCTTAAGTTTTTAGTCTCACTACTATTTTTATGAACAAGCAGTGCTCTGCCGCACTACTATTTTTATGAACAAGCAGTGCTCTGCCGCACTACTATTTTTATGAACAAGCAGTGCTCTGCCGCACTACTATTTTTATGAACACAGCTGCATATACATAATTATGTGAAAATACATATATTTATTAATATATATTTAATAAGCAAAAATCAAACACCAAAAACAATGCGAAATCGAACACCAACAACAACAACAACAACGACAACAACAACAAATACAAATATGCATATGAAACCAAAGCTGAATAAACGAAAAATAGTTCGGGAAAACATAAACAAGAACCAAAATAAAAAAGAAAACCCAAATGGAGTCCATGCACTCCATGTTTGCTTGCCATATTTGCACTTGGAGCTTAATTGTATTTTGTTTTCTTTATGCATGGAGTCCATTGTAAAGCATTCATATTCATTTACAACACTGGCAATGGCAATGATAACGATAATGACAAGCTTCATGTGCGCTGCAGCGAGTTGCATTCTCGAATCAACAGCAGCATTTGCTGTTTGCATTTTGTTTGTTTGTTTGTTTGTTTGTTAAATTACGAGCAACAATAACAAAAACATTATCCAAATCATAATCCGTGTATGTACAGCATATATACATATATATACATCACATATGCATATATATATTTATATATCGAGTTTAGTTTCAGTTATTTGTTATTGTTGTTGGTGAATTTGCTGTACCCATTTGCGTTGCTTGATAGCACTCCTTAGAGAGCACAATACAGAGTCCGATGGCTAATATCACAAGTGTTCCCAGCACTATGCTGACGGCGACTATCCAAATGCGCGGATCGAAATTATCTAAGTCGGGTTTAATAAGGCGTATGAGATCTGCACGGTCCTCGAGCATATATATTTGAGATAGATAAGAAAAAAGAGAGATGACATACGACAAATTACCAGATACAAATTACTTAAGCAAAATCATCTATATATCTGCATAAGTGTGTGTGTCTCTCTGTGTGTGTGTGTGTGTGTGTATAAGTTAAACAATAGATAAACACTACTAGGGTAACGCCGCACAGAATAGATATCCTGCGCCGCGTACAGTTGACACCAAATAACAGCAATTTCTACATAGATAGGCACGACAGCAAGATAACTATCGAATCTTTATCTAGCTAGAACTATGACTTTTTTAAAATCGATTCTTATTATTTATTATCGTTATTATTTGTATTTGTATTTGGTGTTGGCTATGCACAAGCTGTAGTCTAATTGGCCGCTTACCCTCCTCCTTGGTCTCGGGCAACGTTGTCACGTTGGTGGTGACCACCGCGCCGCTGCCCAGCTCATTGTTGGCCCATATCCGAAACTCGTATGTGGTGTTGGGGGCCAGCCGATAGACCTCCATTTGACGCTGTGCCTCGGAAGTGATTATGTAGCGGAAATGATTCTTGTGAAATTGCCCCAAAAATTTTCTATTTTTCTGTTTTTTTTTTTTTTTTTTTTTTTTGGGGCGTTGCAGGCGCCGTTTGCACCTCTGTACTTACCACATTGGGCGCTATGTTGATGGGATCCATGCGACTCCACGCGTGCTCAAAGCTGGCATTGTAGGGCGGCAGACTGTACGAGATGTTGCGATATTCAGCTGTGAAGCTGCGCACGGGATAGCCACCGGACTGGGTCTTATTGAAGCGCCAAATGAGAAAGCCCAGTATGGTTGAGGCCTTGAAATACAGCTGGGTTACCGGGCCAGGTGTGGTGCGCACAACAAGTTTGCTGCGCTGGTAAGCCTGATACGCCTGCTCCTCAACCACCTCGGCAGGTTGCGTTGGCAACGGAACCCGCTCCTGCTCTCGCTGCTTATCCTGCTGCTTCTCCTGCTCCGGCGCTGAGGTAGTTGCTGCTGCTGCCGTTGTTGGTCTCGCTGTTGTTGTTGTTAGCGGCAGCGTGGCAAAGCACACATAGATGCCACTATCCGAGGTACTCACATTCCGCAACACCAATATGCGACCCGTCTATGGCAGAGAGATGGCATCCATATGAAAGCAAGTCACATTGTTCCAAGGCAATTTGGACTGCTAAGAGGCATATTCGCTAAGTCCCATCACCTGTACTCACCTGTATAATGGTGCTATTGCTGCCGTGCTCCTTAACCCACATAATGTTGCCCTGTGCTATGCAGGGTATGCTGACATTGCCGCCCTTGTCTGTCGCATATTCGTTGTACTTGATGGTGATACTGAGCACCGTTAGCACTGCAAATAAATAGAGATAATTATAGATATGAATATGTATATATAAAGACAAGATAAATGGGCAATTATAGATATAAAGTATTATTATTAGTAAGTATAAGGCGTGCTTGTGCTGAGAGACGGATTAATACAGGAAGAGGAAGGGAGATGGGACAGAGGATGACACGCGGAAGAAACATTGAAAAAAGATGGAGAATGAAAAATGATGAGAGATGGAGAAAGAGAAAGAGAGAGAGAGAGATAGACAGATACATATAAAGAGAGAAAGAGAGAGAGGTAGAGAAAAAGAGATAAGAGAGATATGGAAAAAATATGAGAGCTGAAGAGAAATAGATATAAATTAAAAGAGAAAGAATGAGAGAAAGAGAGAGAGAGAGGGAGGGATATATATAGAGAGAAAGAAAAGGAGATAGAAAGAGGCAGTTAGAAAAGAAAGAGTGAGCGAGAGAGAAAAATATAGATAGAAAATAGAGGAAAAACATAAATATATATAAAAGGAGAACAGGAAAACAAAGACAAACAGAGAGATGAAGAAGAAATGAGAAAGAGAGATGGAAACGGAAAAGACAGAGACGGACACAGAGTGGCAAAGATAGAGAAAGACATAAAGAGAGAAGAGGGTGACAAGTAGAAGGAAATAAGGGAGACAGCCGAAAAGTGGAGAGAGAGAGAGAAAACTGTGATTAATTGAAGGCAGATAGGAGATACAGATAGAGATAGAGATAGTAACATATACGAAGATAGAAAAAGAAAGGGAAAGACTCAGGTCGACAGACAGAGACTGGAGATTGGACTGAAGTGCGATTATAATATTTGTTTGTTTAACGCCTTCAATTTCATAATTGCAGATCTCATTGGATATATAGATATATAAGATATATAAGAGTGTAATTTAGTATTCATAGTTGAAAGTTGATGGTTGAGTCGATGTCGCAAAGTGAAATGAACGTGCGGACTCATTAGCCACTTCGATTAATTGATGCGATATCGTTTAATGCTAATTAATTATGGTCTTTCGTGCTGGGCAACTGGGAGCGCAGAGCCCAGTTGAGTGTATCATGGGCAGTCGTTTGGAGCTGCTGCTGTCTAGCTACTTCCGGCTGCTGGCGCTCACCTGCAGCGCAGAGAAGCGAGCGGTGCAGCGCCTGTTGAGCGGCTACCTGGCCCTGGTACTGGTCGATATGGTGGTGCAGATGTGGCGCTACTTTCAAAATAACTGGGAGATGAATGATTTGCATATGCAGCAGCGCGAGCACTTCGGCACCTACACCCAGATCATCGATGCCATGAGCGTCGCCTATCTGCTGGCCCACATGCTGATGGTGCTGCAGGCGCTGCTCTTGCGCAATCGAGAACGCCGACTGCTGGCGCAGCTGCCGGCCATTGAGGCGCCAATGTCCACGTCCATCAATTTACGCCTGCATGTGATGCTCGAGTGCCTCATCATTGGCTGCGCCGTGGCAATGACCGTGCTCCAGTCGATTCAGGGCCGGCAGCTCCTACCCAATCTGCGCGAGTTCTACACAACGCAATCGGTGCGAGCGCGCTACCTGCAGATGTCGCTGATGGTGGTGCGCCTGGACGCAAAGCTGCTGGCGCTGCAGCAGCAGCTGCTGAACGGACATAGCTGCAGTCTCGAGCTGCGCGCCAGCTATGCCCACATCGTGCGCCTCGCGCGCCAGCTGTCCCGCCTCTACGGTCTCTCTGTGCTGCTGATGAACGTGCTCTGCATGGGCGACTTCATTGTCGTCTGCTATGCCTACATCATACTGTGGCGGCTGACGACTATGAACATCAGCTGGCTGCTGCTCTGGCAGACCGTCTACGTGGTCCTGCCCACAGTCATCAAAATCTGGACGCTGTGCGCCGTCTGCGACGGCTGTGCCAAGCGCGTAAGTCTCTGCGACCCATCCAATCCAATGAAATGCAATGAAATTTAAGTACATTTCGATTCGCAGTCACAGCAGCTGCTGGTGCTGATTAATGGCGCCTGGCGACAGGCACCAGCGCGCAAAAGTGCAAATGGAAATGGGCTTAGAGCACGAAGCGCAATCATACGCAAGCAAACTGAAGACTTCTCGCTGCAGATCATGCAAAACCAGCTGCAGTTCGAAGTTTGTGGCATTTATCATCTGAATCTGAAGACCTTGACTGGGGTAGGCTCAGCAGCTAGCTGTCTTGCTGTTACCACAACTCCGTCTATTTGTCTTTTCTGTTGCAGATGTTCGTCTTTATCCTCGATTCGCTGGTCATATTTCTACAATTCATCGGCCTCACCCAGCAGCAGCGAGGCTAAGCAGCGCAATTTGTTAACTTTTAAGCCTTCACGCTTCATAAATACTGAATACATGCTCTGATTCAAGCCGAACATTAAAGCTTTTGTCCTATAAAGCAGCTAAAAGCAGTTATCTTCCATCAAGGTACAGATGTAATTGAAATGGAGTTAAGACGACTCGAGAGGAGACACAGAATTGCAAATGTCATTTCAAATGCAGAAAAGCCTTTAAGCTTACAGCTTATACACATGGGCATCGCGCAAACAACTTTAAAATGAAAATGAAAATGAAAATGAAAATGAAAATGCAAATAAATGTATACAAAGTCAATATATCATTTTTCCTTTGGGAGCTGCGTACAAAAATAAATTAATTTTCTGCACTTTTTCATAAAGGCACAAGTCGAAGGGCTTTTGTCGGCAGTGCACGACTAGTAGATACCCTGAACTCCAGGCAGAGCTGCGTACACACATGGCAAACATAATATGCGCACACATATACACAATCTCGCGCTCTTCTTACTGCGCGGCAGCTGAACTCGCGTCTTACTATCGAAACTTAATTATTGAATAAATTTTTCTCTAGATGAACTTCCCTTAACAACTTTTAAGAGCCTGATAATGATACCTAGATGAGTATATTTGCCAAAGCACAAGTCTCTGGCATATGAAATATGCTTATCGATTATTATCGATTACAAGGAAATGAGAAAAGAAATCGAAAAATATTATAAATTCGCACTACGTCTAGTATGCAGTAATATACATCAAGTATTGTCAGTCTCCAGCTCACACGCTAGCATATGAAATATGTTTATCGATTGTTATCGATAGCAAGGAAATGAGAAAAGTTATCGAAAAAAGTTATAAACTCGCAGTTATATACATCAAGCATTGCCAGTATCTGAAATATGTTTATCGATTGTTATCGATAACAAGGAAATGGGAAAAGTTATCGAAAAAAGTTATAAACTCGCATCAAGCATTGCCAGCCTCTAGCTCTCACTTTAACATATAAAATATGTTTATCGATTGTTATCGATAACAAGGAAATAGGAAAAGTTATCGAAAAATATTATAAGCTCACACTTCGTCTAGTATGCAATAGCTTTAACTCAACTCGTTTTCGTGCGCTGCCACGCCTCCTTCAGTCTGTTACATACATTAAGCCCCAAACATCCACAGTTGGCTGAGGGTATGCAACCATTGTTTTGCCACTGCATACATCAATAGCGAAACGAGTAAAAACTGTGACCGGCCAACATACATGTCGCATATCTAGACAGGACGTGAATTTTGCATGACAACTGTCAGATGTGAAATTGATAAAGGCCAGCTCTATGGGCGCGCATATCCGCCTGATAGATAGATAAAACTGACAGCTAAATGTGACACAAGCTAACAAAAAAAAGAAAAAAAAACTGTTGCCTACTGCGCGGCGCTGCCGTTTTGGGACTTGCCAATCAGTTGATGCGCTTAATAGCCCGATGTAAGCCGATTATGGTGCGAGCCATGTTTAAAATTGTAATCCGACTGAAAGTGCACAGATGAGTGAACAGAGGAGCGAAGATTCGGGATTGAAACAAGCGCGCGCTGCAGCGCCGAGTGCCAACGACTGCACAATACTCGCTCATAGCCAAAGCTCTACAAATGCGCTCCAGATGCATAGCTTGACCTCTGTAGAGCTGCAAGAGCAAAGCTCAGCTGAGCACAGGTGCGAGTACACTGACAGCAATTACTCTTGACAAAAGTCCCATCAAATTGAAAGTTCGATTCCTCTGAATAGTTTTTAGCTCTCGTAATTATATGAACGTCAGCTGAACAAGAAAATAACTTGAATACGCTTCTCGTTGAGGCAGCTTCAATTGTCCGCTAAGTTTCGCTCAACATTTCGAGTACATTTCAGTCACGTTCACAGTTTTTGTGTCCCTGGGCATTGAGAGCAATTGACAAATGTTGCTGTATGTGTAGGCGTGTGTGCGGGTGTGTGTGTGTAGTTTTATCATTCCAGAGGTAAAAGGGCCAAAAACATGCAGACAAAAAGGCGACGGCAAAAAGAAACACATCAGCAGCAGTGGCAGCAGCGGCAAGCGCCATTTAACTAAGCACTGAGCATATTCACAGCTAAAACATTTGATACACTTAAAAAAACAACTATGCAGTATATTATCTTCTAAATTATCTTTAAGCTAGAGCTGAAATTTGTTGAAATTGAACTCGTTTAAAGCGAGCGAACGATGGAGTCTAGTGTCCGCTCAGTCAGTCGGGCTGTCATGCAGTCAGCTCTGCATGTTGATAAAGCGAGCTGGCACCGAACAGTAATAACAACTTTGAAATGTTTGATATGCTCTCAGCCGAAATGGGGCAAAGGGGAGACGAGCGAAAACATATGCAGACGCACGCACACACAGTGGAAGGCCTTGTGGCAAGGGTCAGAATGTGGGAATATTGAGCTTAGCGTCAGATAAGGGCAAGTTGTGCTACACTGCAGTTGGTAAAAACAAAAGGCTATAGCACGCACCCACACACACACACACGCCGGCCCACGCACACATTATATAAGGCATTGTATTGCAGAGCCTCAGAGTAAGCGCAATGAAATTTTATAGAATTGTTTTAAATTCAAAATTCAAGCTATTCGCTCTGCCAACCGAATGCTAAGCTGCCTGAACACTATATGTATAGTAGATGGAATCAGCTATATATATGCCAAGCACTCCATTTT